CTGGAGTGTGGACAGGGTTGGGGGTTGGCCTGACAGGCAGCGTCGCATTTCCTTACGGCCCTACAGTCAGCTTCAGCTTTGCAGCCGGTGTTAGTCTGGTCTAACAGAGCCGACCACCTGCGCAGTCTCCCTCTCCAGCCTGGGGCTTCCAAGGGGCCCGCCCTGGACCCTTACGACCTACAGAGCCCCTGACCTGGTTTCTTTTCTTTTCTTTTTCTTTTTTTGGTTCTGGGGATCAAACTCGGGACCTCGCACTGGTGAGGCAGGCGGTGGAACCACTGAGCTAAATCCCTGGCCCGGACCTAGTTTCTTTGGAGCCTTCTGGCAGGTGACACACTGTGTCTCAGAATGGGGCTGGTGTTTGCAAGGCACTTGGCTTCCTAGAAATGACAGTGGCCTGTGTGTGAACTAGAAGCTGGACGCCGTTCTTATTTAGCAGTGAGGTGAACACTGCTACTTGGGCGTTTTCTTTGTTATGGAGGAGACAGAGCATCCGGTGTCTTGTAGTACCATGAAACGGGACGTTGAGGAAGATACCTGTCCTCTTTGCCAGCCAGTGTCCTGGAAGGCATGATGGCTTTCTTACTGGGAAAGGCGGTCCCCAATGCCAAGTGGCCTGCTCTGGAGCTCTCTGTTCTGCCTGCCCCTGCAAGGGGAGCCTGAGTTGCCTGCGGCACACGGTTGCTCCTGGTGGCCGTGCATGCCTGCCGGAGGGAGGGTGCTCTGCAGGCCCCCTGTTCACCAGTAGCTTGTCGGAGGTTAAGGTCCGGTGGGTCTGCAGATGAGGGTGGATTTGAATCCTTGACCTCTGGAGACCAGACACTGATTTAGCAATAAAATAAACTGGCTGTTTGTTAATGGCAATTTGTAGCCCAGACTGCTGGCCTTGGCTCTTTCATAACCCCGTAAGTTCAACACTGTCTGACGTGCTGTGGAATGGAGTAACAAACTCGGCCACAGTGACATGGTGCTGCAGGTCCTGGGATTCTTCTCTGACCGTTTCTCTTCGTGGAGTGTTGTGGATGACCCAAGGACCAGAGGGGAGGCCTCAGGCCCTTCTCGTCTCACTCCTGTGATGTGCACACGATTGCAGTCACTGCCGTGTGTAACCTGCCTAGCTCGGGTGCTGCCCCTGGGAAGGCCAATGTGACATCTGCTAGGGTCCCTCTCGTCCCTTTTCCTACTGGAGATGTGTGGGTCTGCGCCCAGAGGAGAGTGCAAATTCCCTTTCATCCTCACCGTGCTTCACCAAGGAAGAAGCGATTACCTTGAGTAACTTTCATCCGTGGATGCCCAGCGCCTACGAGCCACCCTCTGGCTCGGCTGTGGCAGGTGGGGAGGCAAGCAAGACTGCACTTTGCTCTGGAGCCCCTTGTTATGACAGCTGGCGTCTCTAAGGTTCCCTGGGGCCACTGACCTGGGAGGGAGCGGTTCCATGCAGAATGGTGATGGCGATGTCCACAGGGCTCTGAGGGCTGCCCCAGTCAGGCAGCGGAGCCACTGGGCTGTGTAGTGTGAGGACCGTGCCCTGCAGGTCTTTCCTCACACCCTCACCACAGCCCCTCAACACAGGTATGTGTGTTTTATTAACATCTGTGTCGCATGTTCCTGAGTCGATGATCCCATTGTACTGGTTGTTCCAAGAACTCTGCCACTTCCCCAAATAGAGGCTCTGTACATATTGATTTTGGTGAGTGAGTGAACTTTTTATAGAGGTAAAGTCACAGGGTGTGTAAAACTGCACTCTGGGGACACAGCTCAGGGGTAGAGTGTTTGCCTGGTGTGTGCCAGGCCCTGGGTTACACCTCCAACACTGGGGGAAAGGGACAGCCTTTAAAAGCTGATGGGAAATGGTTTTAATAACATGGAGAACTGAAGCAACCCTAGTCACTTTGAAGCACAACCCCTCCCTCTTTCTGCATCCCCCAAACTGAGGTGCAACTCCCAGTGGATGGGACCTTCTGACTGCCTGTTTTCCTTTCTTTCTTGTTGGCCCTTACAATAGTGTCTTACAGTCATATCACCGTAGATGCAACTAAGTGTGGCATTAGAAAGAGGAATAGAGTGGGTAAGGTTGAGTCCAGAGGGGAAGATGGTCAGTAGAAAGCATGAATCTTTTGGGAGTGTTTCCTTCCGGTTTGGGAAATTAGCATACCTGTTCTTTTTCCCCCTTTAATCTGTTTTTCTTTCTCTTCTTTTTCATTCTGCTTCTTTAGTTTTTAAAAAGTTCGTTGTTTTGAAAATTATATATTGTCAATATGGATTACTTTGTGTAATCAGTGGAAATTAGCTTAAAATCACTCTACTGAAAATGGTTATTCCCTTCGTGAGTGCACAGAGAGCTCTGAGAACATTGTCCTGAGCGTTCAAAGATGTGAGCCTCTGCCTTTATGTCCTAACTCTCCCCAAACCCCGACGAAGTCTCTGCTTGTGGTGAGTTGGCCTCTGCCTGCTTTCCGCTTTACCTTTCTGACATAATTGCACTGTTTTCTTTTTCTGGGAGGCAGATGGGTTGCCTGTATAGTAAACCAGATGAGCCCCACCTCACACAGGGATGTGGGAGAGTCACGAGGAGCACCCTGGGGACACTGTGTGAAATGCTTGATTGCCCTGTAGGGATTTGTCCCTGGTGAAAGATGATTCTTCACCATATAACTTGTGGTTACCCTGCCTGTAGATTGTTTTTTTGTTTGTTTCCCCCATTAATTGGTCCATTTTAGGTATACAGTACAGTTACATTCCTCATTGGGATCTTGTACCTTTACATGAGCATCTTGGTTCCTTTTTTTTCCCCATTCCCCTGCCCTCCCTTCACCCCCTCCACCCTTCCCTATCCGCAAAGACTTTGTTTCTAATTTTTTCCTTTTCTCATATTTTTTCTTTTCCCTCCTTTCCTTACCCCTACCCCTCCCACTTCCCCTGCTCCTTTAGACCTTTACTTCCTATTACACAATATCGATTATACATTTTTTAAATTACAATATCAAGATCTAGGAGATATTACCACAGATTTTACAGAATTTAAAAGGATATAGAAAGCATATTAGAAAAATCTGTTTTGAAATAAATTTGACAACTTCTAAGAAGTACCTGGGAAGACAAATTAATGAAGCTAATTCTGGAGGAAATATAAAATTTGAATAGCACCTATTAAAGAAAGTATATTCCTAGCCTGAAAACCTACCTATATGACAACAGCAGGCTCATATACATTTTAACTGATAAATTATATCAAACAATTAAAGCAGAAAAAAGAAGGAACACTTCTTCCCTCATTTTAGGAACTCAACATTGTGCCAATCCTAAAACTGGATAAAGATAATAGAAGAAAAAAGTGTGAACATAGATAGAAATTTGTTTAACAAAACAAACTATTAGAAGTCAGATCTGGCAGGATGTAGAAAGTAGTTTTGTTATAGGGATGGCAGTGTTGGTTCAGCATTGGAAGATCCACCCCCAAAAGTCATCATTTTAACAGAGGAAAGGAAAAAGCCATATGATCCTGTCACTAGTTGGAGAAAAAGTATTGGACTAAATTCTACAGCTGTTCATGGTGAAAGCTATCAGGAGACTAGAAATAGAACAGAACCTCCTCAAGAGATTAAAGACATGTACTCCATACTTCCAGCGAGAATGCCTCCTTATATAAATGGAGAAGATACAATGCTTTCTCCTTAAGGTGGGGAACAAGGGCAGATATACTTACCCTTTATCTGTCCATTAAACTTTGAAACCTAGGCCCCACCAAAATAGTTCGGCAATAAAATGACACAATTAGGATAGGATTCTGCCTATAGATTGTTAAAGAGCCTTGCCTCTTATTTAATGCTGCTGCAGGAATACTAATCTACTGATAGGCCCAGCTGTTAACCCATTATATCTGCTGTGGAACTTACATTCTTAAAAGTTTCTAACTGCAGCCACTATTTCATCATTTAGTTCTAGAACATTTGCAAATTTTATAATATATATTACAGCATGAACATTAAATACACTAATTCTTAATGGACCATTTTATTCTTGGACTAGGGAAAATTTGGGCTGTTCATAAGAATAAAATCATTATGGTAGAAGAGAAGGAAAAACTGTCCTTTACAGAGTAATTCCAGTTAATGCAATTGAAATAATCTCATGCATCCTAGCAAATCACAGTGGAATTTTACTTAACATGATGGCTTCCATTTCCATCCTTTTTTCTGTGAATTAAATGATTGCATTCTTCATTATGGCTGAATAACACTCCCTCATGTATGTACACACTGGATATTTTCTTTATCCATTCACCTGTTGATGGTCTCACCATTCGTGTTCAGTGTAGTACTTGAAACTTTAGCCAGACCAATCAGGCAAGAAAAAGAAATAAAAGGGATGTAAATAGGAAAGAAAATCACCCCTATTTGTAGATGGCATGATCCATTACATAGAAGATCCACTCAGTACATGGGCAAATGAACTGAACAGAAACTTCTGAGAGGAAGAAGTACAAATGGCCAAAAAGTGTATGAAAAAATTTTCAACATCTTTAGCTGCTAGAGACACGTAAATCAGAACTACACTGAGATTCATCTCAACCCAGTCATAATGGCTGCCATCAAGAATGCAAAAAACAGTGGATGCTAGTGAGGTTGCTGAGTAAAGAAACACTCTTGCAATGTTGGTGGGAATCTTAACTAGTGCAACCAGCATGGGAGTCAGTGTTGAAGTTCCTCACAATCTACAATAGAGATCCCATTTGTTCCTACTGTTCCACTCTTTGATATATTCCCCAAAGAATTAAGGACAGTATACTTGAGTGATACATGCATACCCATGTTTCTAGTGGCACAGTTAATAATAGCTAAGCTGTAGAAACAGTGCAGATGACCATAAACAGGTGAATGGATAAAGAAAATATCCATTGTGTATATACACGAGGGAGTGTTATTCAGCCATAAAGAAGAACACAGTCATATCATTTACAGAAAAAAGATTGGAAACCGTCATGTTAAGCAAAATAAGCCAGTCCCAGAAAGTTAGATGTCAAATGTTTTCTTTTATGGAACAGTCTATAAGTAAAGAATAAGTAATAAGGGAGAGTTGACAAGAAAGTAGAAGGCAGACTTTTAGAGATGGACAAGGGAAGGGAAGGAGAGAAAGGGTAGCGTAGGGGTGAAGGATTTATGTACCCGTCGACTGACACGAGTCACAGCAGTCTGCATTACTCACATGTACCAGTAAGTACAAAAGACAAAAAGCAACACAAAGACCTACATGGAAGGATATGTTACAAAGTACTAGCCCAGTATTGTTTAGAAGAGTCAAGGTTCTGAACAACTGAGGATTTGCTGAGGCTTGGGGAGAAGTAAGGAGACAGAACAGCAAGTGCAGTGTGGGGTCCCAGACTGGATCCTGGAGCAGAAAGGGACATTGTTGAGAAAAAATGGTGAATCCTAGTCATGTGTGTGCTTGGTATCAGTGTTGTGCCCAGGCTAATTTCTTGTTTTGGTGACTGGGCTGTGGGTGAGATGGTAGCACCAAAGGGTTAAGGGTATACAGAAACGCTGGTGTTTTTGCCACTCTTCTGCAAATCTAAATGATCTGAAAATAAGTTTTTAAAAACCTGCAATCATACTACACTTTGTAGTTGCCATTCTGCTCTGCTGTTGTTTATTAGTCACACTGCGTGCATGGAGGGAATCCAGAATTACAGGGATGCTTTTCCATTGGCCTTTGAAATGTATGGCTTCCACTCCCGCCCTCAGATTTGCCATGGGCTAAGGTTAACGAAGTATAGGATGGGAGAAATTTGGAAAACTTTTAAACATTTTCTGAAAAACAAGTTCTATTTCTGAAAGACTCGCTTGACTTTTAGTGGCCACTTTTAGTGGGATGCGGAGAGTTGGCTGAGAACGCAGGGATAGAATGTGGAGGAAGCAGCCGCCCTTCCGTCTGGAGGTCTGTGGGACGCATTCTTGAGGCCCAGAAGAGGCAAGTGAGGTATTACGGCAAATCTATGTGGGGTCCTCGAAAGCAGGACTGTCTGTTTAGCTCCCTTACTCCCCAGTTTGGGCATAACAAGTATTCAGTAAATACTTGCGAAGTTAGGCCAATGTGTGGCTACTTTTGGGTAAACTACTTACATTATTTTTTAAAATAAAGACCTTTTGAAACACACTGTTTATGTAAACAGGCTGGTGCTTCACATTCTATCGTAAGCTGGTGAGAAGGATGTTTCTGTGGAAATTGCCATTTTGAGATCCTACCTGGGAGGGTGCACCGAGCTCTACTTAACTGCTGGCTCTGGTACCTCTGCCTCCTCGACAGGGAGTGGAGCTTCGGGGGACTTTGCCCTGTGATGGCCTTGTCTGCTGCCCTGCTCGGTGCTCTCTTCAAGCTGCCCGCTGTCCCCAGGGCACAGCATGTCCTTTAGGCCCAGCTGCTGCTGTCGTATTTCCTGCCCTGTAGGCATCCTCACCTCTCTTCTCTGAAAAACTCCTGCCTACTTTCAGGATGTGGGTCAAGAGACGTTTTCTCTGAGCTCTTCTGTACTGCACGGACACCATCTCTCTCCAGCAGGTACTTCGGTGTTTAAATCTGTTCACTCATCCTCTCATCGGTTCTCAGGATACTGATTGAGTGCCTGGAGGCTGCCTGTTGGAGGGAGTGAGAGACAGTGCGGAAGGACAGGTGGGACCTTGGCCTGTTGGCCTGGGTTCCAGCAGGACACGCAGATCTAGCTACAAATTACGGTCACAGTAAGATGAGTTATGTCGCGTGACTGTGCCTACGTGTAGATCGCGAGCTCTTTGAAGGTCTGAATTTGCCTTGATTGTAGACGTGGCATGGACTGTTACCTGACAGCTGTAGGTGCTCTCTCACCTGAGAACTCTGTACTGATTTCCACATACAGTGATCACTTCTTTCCTGGCAACTTCTCATATTTTTATTACCTGTAAACTGAGCTAATAAGGAAACCTGCTATTGAAACCGCTCCTTCTTGCTTCCTGAAGGTGCTGTTTCTTCTCCTGGTGTGTGGTGCAGGTGGCCTGCATGACAGGGCAGGGCCACCACAGACTGCATCCGTCAGACTGCGTCAGTCAAGGCTCCCAGCAGGACGTGCTCTGCCAGACCCTGTGGTCAGGCTGACCCGGCTGTAGCTCGGGTCAGGCCGGAAAGGTGCAAGGGGAAGGGAGTTTGGGTCCCAAGGCTGCGCCCTGGTCACAACTCAGGCTGGACCCAGGGCCGTGGTTGGCCCTGTTTCCTGTCCTGGAGGGGCTCTACTTTCCACAGGGCCCGGTGAGTAGGGAAGGAAGTGGTTTTCACACTGGGCAGGAAGAGAGACTTGCAGATGTCTGGTGTTCACTGACATGCCAGCGGTCGACTGTAAATCCCAACTGTTTTTGTATTTAAGCTGATAGAAAATTTGGACAGTTAAAGCTTTTCCAGAAGCCTGTGCCACAGTATTTCTAAATGTGCATCAAGTTCTAGGTAGACCGAATTGATCCTTTAACCATCTCTAGAGCGATCAGTTCAGGCCTCAGTGACCTCAGATGTCTGCGAGCAGGCGCTGGAAGTAATTCTCCAAGAACACTGTCTTTCACAGAAAACAGCGTGGTTAAACGTGATTTGGGGAAAAGAATAGTGTCTCGGATAGAGTCCAGAAATCAGTCTTTAGAGCTGTGGGAATTCTGTATGTTAAGTCAGCCAGCAGAATTCACTTGATGCCTGGTGTTCACTGAGCCCCAAAGGTACCTGTGTAACAATCTGCATTATTTAGCAAGTTGTCCGTGAAATCCTGTCATTCTTCTATGAAAGAATACAGTTGGCACATGAGAAACATTAGAAATGAGTGCCGCCCTTTTGGGCCCCTGTGGGGCTTCCCTGTTTGTGCTGATGGGTGGGCCGCATTGCTCTGGCAGCAGCTGGACACATTTTCCCAACAGAGTTGCATGGTGTGGCCAGCTGCTTTTGTTCTGTGATCCTCCTGGAGCTCTCTGCTGTGCCTGGCTCTGTGTGGGGCAGAAATGAAACACAGAGGTAAGCAAGCTGGGATGCCAGTCCTCAAGGCAGGGCTCCTGCCTGATGGGGCTGATGGGGCTCCAGAGTCGGAGCTTGAGAAGCAGTGTCCTTGCTGCCTGGACTCAGTGGTGTGGTTGGGTCTGCAGTGTCCCCAGAGGCCCGTGTGTGAAAGGCAGACCTTGGACTGGCGTCAAGATGAGCATCCTCTCCTTACAAGTGAGTTACCTCCAGTGTTTGTTGCAGTGAAGCAGCGCTGCCTGACAAGACTCATTGCTTTGGGCCGGTCCTGTGACCTCCTAGAGCCCACTTCTTCCTTACACCACAGGGTAAGTGGGCCGGGACACCCAGAGTGCAGCATCACGTCCGGGCAGCATCACCATTGTCTCTGTCACCGAGGGGCCAGGGGACAAGCAGGACTCAGATCGAAGGCTGTGCTCCATGCCAGGCTGTGAATTTGGGAATTGCCTTTCAGTTTCAGTTTCCCGGCTTTACGGTTACCTGGGAATACAATACCCCCTCCCCATACAGTTCGCACTTCCTACTTTTTTTTTTAATATCAGGGATCAAACTCAGCACCTTGCTCTTTCGAGGCATTCAGCGACACCACTGAGCTAAATCCCCGGCCCTGCACTTCTTGCTTTTGCATTTTTCTGATGCAGCTCAGCAGGCGATCCATTAACCCAAAGCCTCTTTAGCACCCAGGCCTGCGCTGTGATGCCGGAGGCTTGGGGCAGAAGGCCACCTGCATGGCCTTCAGCCCTGAGATGGTGTGGACCTTTGGAGGTGACTTATTTGCCCTGAAGTAGATGCCTAGAACATCAGACACATCTTAATGCAAACTCTTTGTGAACCCCAGGAAAGGTTCTTTTGGGGATCACCTTTGCTACTATTTTCATCTGTGACCACAGGAAGTTGAAGTTTGCCTGTGGCACCACTTGAGATGCTTGGGGACTTCTCTGACATGGAGGTCTCTATAACAGTACAGCCCGGGGCCCGGAAGCCTGGAAATGCCCGTTTCTGCCTCTCGGTGTCATTTCTTTCAAATAAGAGTCGATTCAAATTTCTAAAACACACAGTTGCTTACGTGCAGAGCAGTGGACTAGGGGAATGGCTTCTCCACTTAGCTTTCCTTCCTGCAGTGGGGTTTGTGGGCATCTGTCTGCAGCACGAGCCTGCCCCTCGGAGGACGTGTGTGGTGGTCTGGCCAGTGGCAGGTGCTCCTCCTCTGTGGTCAGGGCCGTCTGGGACACTCCCGGGGGTGGTGGGGCCCCATGGAGCATGAAGCGGGCTGATGCACATGGGGACAGCACCTCCAGGTTACTAGGATTGGCCCTGACAACACTTGCAGGGGGCTGAGAGCTCCTGTTCCCAGGGGCTCCTGCCTGGACACAGGGCTGCAGTGCCTGGCTGCTGCCTGACCATCAGCCAGGGCTGGGCTTGGGTGTCTGGCAGGAGCTCTCTGTTCCATCCTGCCCTGTAGGTCCATTCCCTGGGGCGCTTTCAGGACTAGAGGGTGAGCGTAGAGGGCCTGTTTTGCTCCCGCCTCTCCTCACTGTGCTGTGCCCGTAGCATATGGATTCCACATTAGCTGCTGGTCTTTCAAGTTGTACAAATCAGTTATCCCAGTGCTGTCACCTTTTGAAGTTCTGGTTTTGTTCCCAGTCTCTCTGATTTTAGTGGTTTGTGGTTCCACCTTGGCTCAGTGTCCATTATCACCTCATCCCTGAGGCCACCAGGACTCATGATCATGTCCCCACTGTGTGAGCCAGCAGTGCAAACAGCCCTCGTCAGAGAAGCAGCCTTAACTCTGTGGCAGCTCGTGGGAAGTTCTGTGTCTGTTGGAGAAGTCTGTTCCTTGGTGAAACGCTGGTGCCTTAAAACAGTTACATGGACATCGCGCGATAGAGGGTCCATCCATTCGCTCATTCACCTAGCAGCTGGGCCAACTGGCCGTCAGGCTGACCTCCTGCCACTGCTCTGGAGTCTCCTCTTTGCCAGTCCCGGGGTCCTCATCCATCACAGGTGCTCTCAGCGTCCACCCTATGTCCTGCTCTCTCTCAGGCAGCCTGTTCTTGTGCACACTGTAAGTTGAGATGTAACGCAACCAAAGCAAATGAACATACATTGTGCGTTACGTTTGCTGGTACTGTTTTCCAGTCAGTAGTATATTGTTGGAGCATTCGCTTGGTCATTCAGCATTCATTCTGAAATGTCTATGGAGTGTTTACCGAGAGCCAGGCGAGTTCCACAGGAGAGAGGGCTGAGCCAGCCGTGCATGACCCCACCCTCAGGACATGATCTGTGTGCTAGGGGCTCAAGACCAGAGCACAGGAATTTCATCTCAATGGAGGAATGAAGGGTTGAATCAGCGGTGGCTCAATTCTGTGGCTCGAGACACTGACCCATGTGTTTTCATCACCAGCGTGGAAAGCTTGCAGCAGGTGCTGGAGATGGAATGCTTTTTTATTTATGAGCTTCACAAATGACTTAAGTCTGCATCTGTGGAACCATTAAGGGTCTGGGGAGATCCCTTAGACTCCTGAGTGGTGCAGTGCTGCGTTTTATGACACTGTGTGCTGCGATGGCATCGTGGTTTGGCCCAAACTCAGTTGCATGTCTAGTGTTATATATCTGGGAGTCCTTTACGTGAATGATAGAATTTTGTCCTTAAAACATCCCTGTGAGTAGACACTGTTGTTATCTGCAGATTTTAGGCGTGCACACTGTGACAGACAGGAGGCTGGTGGCACTGGGATGTGGGTCCAGGCAGTCTGACACTAGGGACATTGTGTTGTAGTGTCCCCATCTTTGGACTGGAAATGTCTCCACTCTCAAGGAAAAGCATTGATTTACTTCATGTCCAGAGCCCCTTCTACCCTGGTGGTCTGTGATCTCTGACTGTCCACAGGTGGGCAGTGGGGACACGAGTGTCAGCGTCCACACAGACCTCAACACACAGCGTCAGCCTGGTGGCTTTGTGGTTTCTGGGTGTGTGTGCTGTGATTGAGGACAGAATCCTGGGCCATCTGCATTCCACGTGCACTTGAGAGGAGAAGCAGGCTTAGGGACTTACAGGGACAGTGGCACCTGCAGCATTGACAACCTTTTGGGAGGACACAGCCCAGCAGAGCACAGAGTGTCTGTATAATATCTCAGCTCTTCACAAAATCCAGGGGTGCAGGCTTGAATTGAAGAACAGGTTGATGAAAGCCCATTTGAGGTTGGTGGCAGATTGTGTGAAGGCAAGGGAGCAAAGGTTGTTTTCTGTATTAGAAACAAACAACCAAGGAATGTAACAGTTACGGTTAAAGCTGCTCATGTTATGTTGTATAAAGCAGCACCCTCTACACTGTTGCTGTTGCTCCTGAAGCCTCACTCTAGAGAACCAATAAAGCTGGGATTCATAGGAAGGAAATTATGGGAATCATAGAAAATAAAATAATCCATCCCAGGTAAAAGACATTAACACCTAGAAGCCTGCGGAGCCTCTTTTGCCAACATTTCGTATACCTTGTCTCCCTGCACTGCTTTCTGTTTTACCCACGAAGCAAGCGTGGCTTAGATATGTGACCCAGGCTAACGTTAGTTTGTATTGGAAAGCAGGGCATAGCTCTAGAGCCACGGTGCTGAGCCTGATGTGCATCCAGCTAGAGGGGCCACGGTGAAGTGTGGCCTTGGCCTCGAGGAGCCACACGGTCCCAGCCGAGTGTCTGGAATTGGGGCCTTCACCGTGGGGAGCGTGTGGCCCCAGGGAGTGGTTGCCCACACTTCGGAAATCATAGATGACAACACGGCTCCTGTGCTGGTTGGAGGGCCTCTCTGACCAGACATGTTAACTTGGTTGTGGTTACCACATTACCTATTCATCTCTAATTTTACTGAATCAGTAGCAGCTCTTCTCCAGGGTAATGTCTGCTCCCCTATCTGTGCAGCGCCCAGTGCTGGGCATTACGGTCTAGGTTGAACAGCCCCTCCAATTTGCAGAGCACTGTGAGCTCAGCCTGATGACCAGGGTGAAGGAGATGGGGCATTGCGGCTCGAGTCCAGGTGCAGTGGGCGTGAGCAGTCTGCGGGCTCCTCCTGATTTCCATCACTGGTCATCAGCAAACCTGAAGAGTGGTCGCAGAGCATGGCCAGTGTCCAGAGCCCTGACGGTACCACGTTCGTGCAGGTGTAGCCGTAGTGCATGGTCGCTGCCTGGGGAGAACTCTGAAAATGGTTAGCCTTTGGGGAAGAAAGTCCCTGATTTAAGGAGACTCAGAAAAAGCCCATTCCCTGCCTTTCCCACTGGGCTGTGTGCTGAGGGTCTCCATGTGCCCTTTCCGGCTGCAGCCCACCTGCTCACCATGGTTTTTCTTCTGCCAAAATCAAGTGACTGCTCCCTGTGAGCCCCCAGGGGTGGAGAAACCTGTCCCTGTGGCTCCTCCTCACATGTCCTTCGTTCCCAGGGGTCCCGTGTGCGCTGCTGTTTCACGATTTATGTGCGTAACTGTACTTTCACTCAGTGTGATGTAGGTGTGGTTGCATTTTCCTGTGTTTTATCTGCTCCTACTTTGGACATGCAGCGGAGAGGAGGCAAGTACATGAGTTTGCATTCCTCACACAGCTTTTTACATGAACAGAAACAGGCCCTGTAGTCGGACATGAAACCAGTGGTATGGAGCTTGTGTTGTTCTTTTTCCACGCTTCTCTGTCGTGTGGATGTCATGTGGACATCTGTGAGGAAGGCATAGGTGTCAGGAAAAGGAAAGAAGCCAATCCCAAACCTGAGCGCATGGACGCCCTTTTCCCCTCCAGGTGTTTCGGCTCCCACTCACAGTAACGCCGGCGCAGCAGCCTTCCCCGCCAGATGGCAGGGATGCACAAGTGGTGATGGGTCTGGGCCAGGGAGCTCCCCTGGTGGGCAAGGTGGACACATGGGCCAGGGTGCCAGTGTGCCGAGGCACAGAGGTGGGGGAAACGCCGATTGCCATGGGGACACGGCAGCGGTGCTCAGCCCTGGACTAGGATGGAGTGGGAAGGGCTCAGAGTTGCTGTGTATGACTGATTTCTTGCATTCGGGAGAACAAAAAGTTCATGACATGATTTAGTAAAGGGTAATAAAGTGCTACAGGAAAACACAAACAAGGGACAGAGTCCTGGGCATGGGGATAGAGGAGGTTAGACTTAAATAAGATGCTTTGTTATACTTGAATATAAAGAAAAATTACTCTTGTTCATATTGTTATGAATTCCAGGGTACATTTTAGGACTCAGATTCTATGGCACATTCATCTCATTGTTGCTCCTTCAAGAATGTATCCACAGAAGCAGTCTGGAGAACAGCTCCCAGAGAGACAGAAGTGCAGTTGAAACTTGGTGTCCCTAGTGTACCAGCTCCTGCCCATCCTGTGGATAAGCACAGCAGATTGGGTTAGAGACAGGAGCGCTAGGTGTGGGCCCAGAGGCGCCTCAGCATGGGCACAGTCACCTTGAAGGGCTTGCCCAGCCGCCCCTGTGTCTGTCAGGACAAAGCAGGTCAGAACAGGGTTAGCGTCAGCATTGGCAGGAGCATGAGTGTCCCCTTTGCTGTGGATGGTGGGTGTAGGGAACAGGGGAAGGGGACGTTACCAGAACCTCTGCAGCGAGTCCTAGTCTGCGAGCCATGACTGCACAGGGCGAATTAAGTTATTACATAGGAAAGGTAGAAAAAATGAGACTTGAGGGCCAGGGATTTAGCTCAGTGGGTCTGCCGCCTGCCTCGCAAGTGAGTTCGATCCCTGGTACCAAAAAAAAAAAAATGAATCTGGAGAAGAAGCTGAGCTTTGGGCCTGATCCGTGCTGCTCTGGGCTGCAAAGGCGAAAGCCCCCAGCTTACCGCACCAGTACATTGGGAGAAACAAAGTGTAACAAATGACGGGGGCGGCGGAAATCCAAGAACAATGAGGAACCGAGTAGATGAAGATTTTGTTCCTCCCAGGATGTCTCCAGCTGGTGTAATCTTGCCCTGGAGCATCACAGCATCACTGGACCATTGAGGTCTCAGCTGTGACCGGAGGCCAAAATGGAGTTATGTCTCGGAATTCCATAGCTGGGCTGTAGGCAGGAGAACTAGGCTAACCAAATGATTTTGCCCTAAAATCATTGCTCCCAACAGGTGGGGACACAGTCCTGTTCTCACGGTGGCCTCCCCTTCATTGAGTCCCTGAAAGCACTGTGGCTGCCTCCAGCTGCAGGCCAGGGACCTGCCAGAGACGTCTCAGAGGGGGCATGGAGAGATTGGAGCCAGTGGCAGGGAGACCAGGTTCTCCGAGGCCTGGATTGTGGCGTGTGGGTACCCTGGTGGCAGCTGTCCATCAGAGGGTGTACAGGGCTGTGGTTCGGCGCCACTGGGTCACACTGCACGGACTGCGCCAGCTCCTGGCCTGCCGTACCCTCATGGACAAATTCACCGTTGAACGTAGACAATGAGAATTTTATTAGGTTTCCATCGAGGAAATGGGTTGAAGACCCTTGTCCTGGTACTAATCAAGTTGTTGTGAAGCCTCTTAAGTCTATCACAAATATTCTGCTTTTGACTTTTAGAGAATAGAGGCATTCATGGCACTTACATGGCCCAGGGTCTGTAAAGAAGTTCTTTGTGCCTGAAAGGGGCGTGTTCAGGACACAAGGCCTGGTCTTAGCAGACATGAGTCCCTAACCTGGCCCAGGTTGACATGACTTCTTCCAAGGAAGCTGTAACCCAGAATGAAGCCTGAGGTCCCCACTCCTCTGCTGCCCAAGGCCAGGTATGGTGTTGGGCTGTGTGAGCTCAGCCTTCTGCTGGAGCCAGTGGCTCCCTGCCATCCCTTCTCTACAGGGCGCATTTGACAGTGCAGCTGGCTCCCACCCACATGGATCCCGGGCCTTGAAATATGTGTGTGATGGACAGCAGAGGCCATTCCTTCAGGTACCAACTGGGGTTCTCCACCCCGGGATGAAGACAGTTCCGGTCACAGCACACCTTCCCTGCTAGCAGTAGAGCATCCTGCTATCACTTAAAAGCATGGCGATAACCAGGCACAGAGTACAGGTGTCAGAATGTCCACAATTCAGAAATCGAGTTTTCAAGCCACCTGTTATTTGGATAATCTTTAGAATAATTAAGAGCAGGCACAGAGGTACAAGTGGCTAACATGAGATTTCCTTAAAAGTTTCTTTCTTAGCATTTTACAGAATTGTGGATTGTAAGAACCAAAGGGGGCTGGGCCCATAAGCCTTAGGTTCAGTTCTGATACTGAGAAAAAGAAAAAGAACTAGAGGACTTTGAAAACGTGGGATGTAAGAGACTTCTGGCTGGGGATGCTTTTTTGAAACAAGGTCTTGGAGATGAGCCCACATGCAGTTCTGCACCCCTACAGGGCTCCTCCCAGTGCCCCCAGCTCTGATGCAGGACCCGAGGCCCAGGGAAGCCTGGCACGTTGGGGAAAGGGTGAAAACACCCCAGCCTAGTGCAGGTCCCTGGTGTCACCAACAAGGACCTGAGACTAAGATTCTAGCCTTCGGACAGACTGAGTGTTTAGTTTAAGAGCTGGTGCAAAGCAGGTTTCCCGAGTCTCAGGGCTTCCGTGTGCTTCTCCCAGCACAGGGCTGTAGAGCGTGCTGTAGGGTGAGTGGCTGAGGGAAGGCAGAGCTGGGCTGTCTCTGCGGGGCCTGGCATGAGTGGCCCTTGCTTCCCACGCTCCCCTGGGCCCATTTGCTCAGGGCTCCTTGTGCATCTTCACGCAGACGCTGCCTGTCCTCACCACACACACCCTCCAGCACGGAGATGAGGTCTGTCTGCAGCTGGTCATCACAAGAGCTGTGCAGGGCTCATCCTGATGAATGTGTGCAAGGTGCTCCAGTGCCAGGTATGTAGACAATCTGCCTGTAGCCTGTGTTTGAGAACCATTGCTGGAGCGGCTTCGAGCTGGGTGCCTGGCTCCCAAGTCTGCAGGTGTCACAGTCATGGAGACCTCGCAAGAATGACAGTTGGGGCAGCCAGGGCCCCTCCTGTGCCTTGTCCAGGGTGCTGGCCACATGGGTGTTTTTCCCTTTGCATAGACCTGTCATGCTGGACTTGCTGTGCACCTTGGATGTGTGTGTGCTGCACACGTGCGTGCATGCGCGCACACACACACACTGTATGTACTAAATTATGTGCACAAATGTTGCGGTGTACCCAGCCTTGAGCTCCAGGTCCTTCCGTGCCCCTGGTCTGGGGCAGAGTGAGATCCTCAATCTGCCCAGCAGCTGGGGGCTGCTCGGGGCCACCTGCCTTCCTCCTGCCTGAGCCCCCTGCGCTGCCTCAGGCAGCATCCTGCCCAGCAGTGCCCAGAACTGCAACCTGCCTGCCCCAAGGTGCTCGTGCCATCTCCGGAAAGGAGGGAAACAGCTGGAATGGTGTTTGTCTGCAGGGTGAGCACAGTGTGGGTCCTGGAGCATGGAGGCATTTCTATTTGGGTGGTGCCAGGGGACGGGAGCCTTGTATTAGTGCCTTTGAAAGAATGGTTTTGATGAATTTAGAATTCTACAAACATTTGATATTCAGAGATCTCCCTCCTTAAAATAGGCTTTTTACTTTTCCTAATTATAAAACAATACATGAACCCACAAGAAATCAGTGGCTTCAGGACCTAGAGTCAGCCACTGTTCACACGTCAGTCACAGAGGCCTCTGTGCCATTTTTCTGTGAGCCTTGCAGGCGTTGAGTACCTTTTTATTCCTCAGGTTATTCCAGAGTGGTTCTTCCCTACTTCCTTGGAGCCCAAGCACTGTTCTGCATCACAAGTTAGAAAGGATTGCCTCACATTCACATGCAGAAAGCCACAGAAACAAATCCATTCATTCACTGGTTTTATTTTTATTTATTTATTTAGATACCGAGGATCTAACTCGGATCCTTTCACTTGTGAAGCAGGCGCCAGAACCACTGAGCTAAATCCTTGGTGACTCACTGGTTTTAAATGTGGAAAAGAAGTGGTATTTCTGCTGTTTTGCGTCGAAACAGAGTTCTGCTGACTGTGAAATGACTGAAAAGATCTCAGTGGGAAGTTGGGTAGGAATTTTAGGCCGCTGAAGGGGGTGATTTAGGACTCAAAGTCTAAATTCTCGGAGTGCTTTGGACTTCGAAGAGCACCTTGTACATTTTCCACTCAAGGTTCTCGGAGATTTTGAGACACATTAACATAATCTGCACCAAAATGGGAGTCATAGGCCATGCCATTAAGTGGCCCGAGTTTTTAAACTTGCTTCCTGTCTAGGGTGGGACGGTCTTCAGAGTCAGTCTTACTAGGTGTGCAGGCACCCTTTCGTCATCTGGCCATCCTTCCAAGGGCCAGCTGTGGTTTCAGTAGTATTGCTGAAGATCGGACTTCTGTTAAATACTTGTGGGGTAGCAGCTCATTACCCAGAATATAAGCCTTCCAATTAGTTCACCTTTTTTCCCCCGTCTACGCCCGGAAACATCAGCTCCTCTCTGAGTGTGGGCCGTGTCCCTGCTGGGATCTGAGCTTGGGCCGGGGCGCTGAGCACGGCATGCTGGTGTCGGGTGTCCTTGCCCTGTGCACTTGCGCTGGGAATCTCAGCACAGTGTGTGTCTGTAGCGCCTGTCGCTGGCCTGCTTTTGAAAGCCGGCATTTAAGAGTCACCCTAAGGATCAATACCATTTCGTGCCTGAAGATTCTCTAAGCTTCATCTTCAAAATTAGCTGAAGTGTTATTTGTGGATGCCGTGATTCTGGCTTCCTTCGTATTCCAGATCGCTGAGGCTGATACAGGAAATAACAGCGTGGCCAGCCCTTGTCATTGCTGATAGCTTGGTTTAGTGACCAGCCCCAAAAGCTCAGGTCACAGTTGTCCCCCTCCCTTCTCCTGGAATCTCGGTTCATTTGTTTGTCTTTTAATCATTGTTTTCCATCTTTGATGCACTTTATCTTTATTATAGAAAGTCATATACCTGGCACGGGAACATGCAGTGATTTATATGTAAATTGATTAAAATACTGTTTTCATCTCTATACTGGGAAATGTAAACATATATTGGGTATGGTAAAAGTATTTATAAAATTTAGAAACCTGTTCTTTACTTGCACTCACTAATAGCCACATCTGGCCACTACGTCATTCACAGTGTGTGTTTACTGAGAAGCCTCCACTACTGAGAGCACAGTGCAGACTTCAGTGCCAGAGATAGTGGAACCAGAATCACTGCTAGCTTTCAGGTCTGAGCATGGTAGAAGTGTGAACTAAATGAGTCAGTGTTGCTGTATGAATTTTAACAGAAATAAGTAACGTAGACTACTTTGCCAGTTCACAGAAAAGGCTGATTCCACAGCTGAGATGTAACGCTGTATATCGGTCCCTACTTTGTGACTCAGACTGTGAAAACTTAGGCTTTTAAAAGAGTGGGAACATTTGAGAATGACTTTTGTAGCCCTTTAAGTAATGGAATGTTTATTCTAGCAAGTGGGTTAAATTTAGTCTCTGGGAGGCAGATTTGTTCTCCTATAAGTCTCAATTGAACATTTATCTTTGAATCCTAAGTTTAGGGTTAGAATGTTCAGATTGCTAAGCTGTGGTTCCATAGCATTTTTAAATAAGTTTAAGAATGCACAGAAAATGCTAGGGTATTCCATTTATTTCCGAGTTTAAGGACTCTTAAAATTCCTTGTTTTTTGCAAGGTAGTAAAATACTAGGAAATCCTCTTATTCATACTTGTTCTTTTCCTTTATCTTTTCTCACATGCCAAGGCACTGGCTGGTTAATGCTAATTTGTGCACAGTTAGAATGACTTTCAGGACAGAGGCATTTTCTTCTTAGCTTGATGGAAATCCTGGGTTTTGTACTTCACCCAGGGAATTGCCCCAGCTTTGCCTGGAGTAGCAATTCTCTCTGGACTTCTGCTCCTCCACAGGACAAGGAGTTCGGCGAGGATGCTTCCTGTCCCCCGGCTGAAGACTGGGTCTCTAAGATGATTCCAGTGCCCCAAACAGTGTGCCAGGAACTTTGTGTGGAAGTGCAAAGAAGCTAAAGAAGCCTACGTGTGGGCGAATTCTGTTACTGCTAGAGCTATACACAGTGATTCTAAAATCTTTTGTTATTCTGGCATTTTTGTAAAAAATCAAATGGAATTATGGCAGAAGGAAGTACCATTTTCTTCATTTGAGAAATTCTAATTATTTTAAGAGGAGGAATTGTTTAAATGCTATAAATGGTTCTTTAAAATCTGTGGCCCCTGCATGGTCTTGGCTGCAGTCCACCAATATTGTCACCTGAAATGATGGTGTCCTTGTCACCAGAATGTTTCCAGTGTTTAACATTCCTTCATCTCCTTCGGCTTCTGCACTGGCAGAACTGCTCAGCAAGTTCCACGAGGAATAGACAAATATTGTAAATTTTAAATTTATTTTTCCATCTTCTTTCTCTGGCATTGGTCGTATTCCCTTGAAGATGTTTCCTGATGCTGGTGTATAAAAGTGTTATTTGGGGCTCGAAATTGCTTTGGGTCCTCCCTTTCTGAACTGGCCCGTCCACAGAACAGAGCCTGGTGAGTAGGCCCCGTGTCCAGGAATTGCCTGAGCACCTGCCTACTTTGAGAAGTTGCTTTTTAGGGCTTCTTTTTGTAAGTTAGCAGATACCAACTAAACCCTTAAATAGGACACGACCACCCGGAGAGAGGGCTCAGGACAAGAGCGGCTGCTTCTCAAGGGCAGCGGTCCTTGTCTTGGCCTTCCATCACTCCCTCGGCCGCTCTGGAGACCTGGGGTGGAGCAGGAGCCTTGGTGCCCCGCATCAGGGATGCCTTAGGACCCGGTGTGCAGCTGAGGTGACAGCCTTTCTTTAGGTACTCAGTGAAGAATATCGTAATCACCTATGTATTAGAGGACCCGAATGCACTGAGCTTCTCAGTACCAAGTGTGGTGGAGCTGGCCCTTGAGGCCAAGTGGGGAATGAGTTGGAAGCCAGCCTCTGTCAACACCCAGTTTGTCCATCGGACAGATGTTCTGTTCTGCTCTGCGGTTTCACTCCAGCATTTGCAGTAGCTCTGGTGTTTCTCAGCATTGTAGCAGTTTTCTAGTACGTTCCATATCACATCAAGAAGTTAGTAAATTCAGAATTTCAGCCCCGTTAATTTGCTTCAAGTGGCCGTGTGATGGAAACCTTTGGTTGATGTTGGGCTAATGATTCACCACTGAGAGGATTTGGGTTGTACGGATTTGAAATTCAGTGAGTTGGCAGTGATAGTTCAGTTACATAAGAAGGAAGCGCTTACTGAGCCAATGAGCCCCACAGGACCCTCCCAGTAACATGCAGCCTGCTGGAGAAGACAGGCCGCCCCCAGGAGGCGCCCGGGCGTGTGGGCGTGCACTGTGGGCGAGTCTGGATCCCGAACACCGATTTGGAAGCCACGAGGCCAGTGGTGGGATGGGGTAAAGCAGGATAAGGTGCCCTGGTTTTCCCACAGGCTCAAAGTAGATTGTTTGGCTATGCAGCGTGTCATTGCTTGGTGCCTGTTCAGGCCGGGAAGCACGCTAGGTATGAAGGATATAAAGAGGGAAGATGTGTGGCCTTGGAAGTGTTGCAGATGAGTTCATCGCTGTCCACATTGTTAGGAATTCACACGGTGCACTGTGAAGAGGCCCATTCCTGTCAGTTTTGTTTTCATGTCTCAGTACCTAGCGCACGATGCAGAAGGGTTCCGTACTGGTTATATGAATGAATGAATGGTTCTATTGAAATAGTTCATTCTGTTGAAAATATGTCATTATTACAGTTGTCTCTCACAGAACAAAATGAAATGAGTATACTGTGGATATAATTTCATTTCCCTGCTGGATTAAAGTTCCAAATGGACTTGAATATCATAGTCTAATCCTGGAGTCTTTCAGACCAGAGCAGTGGTCAGTTTTTCAGTTTGAGTTTGACCCAAAGTTAGCTTATTCTTTTTTTCCCACCAGTATCACTTCAGCAGCACCAAGGGTACCTGGGTTTGGCTAATTTTTTTTCATGTTTGGTATTATTCTAAAGCCCAGAATTTCTTTTGGAAAGGAAGATAAATTCTTTCTTTAACATCCTCTTTTTTCCATTAAGTTTAAAAAAAAAAGTCATGTCACGAATGTGATTTCCAGTAGCTGGACTTCAGTCTTCCACCTTGTGGGGCAGTGGTGTTCAGAGCAGCAGGGCCTGCATCACGTGGCCTGGCCCGAAGCACGCAGATCCTCTACCCTGGGGGGCCAGGTATGGGTGCATGTGGGGCCCACGCTCCTGGTTGCTCTGTGTGAGGTCAGAGGCCGCTGGTTTCTTGTTCTGTGGCCTTTCAGGAAGTGAGCAGATGTAGGGCTGTAACCCCTCTCAGTTCAAGAGAGCACTCTGCAGACTCGGGCCGTCTTTACCCAGGAGAGGCGCTCTCTCTGCAGGCCGAAAGTCATCAGGAATGGACAGGCTGGCCCAGCACAGCCCTGTGTGTAGTCTTTGTGGCTCCAGAGGCCTGTCTGGGCCCATGCTGGGTAGCAGAGAGGACCTCAGGCTCCAGCCTGGCCAGCAACCCTTGCTCCAGTCAGATACATCTGAGCGAGGCCAGGGGCTGGGAGAGGCTGTGACAGTCAGCATGGGGGACCTTCGGCCCTTGCCCCAGGGGGTGTCCTGTGTGTGAATCCTGCCAGCCCCTGGGGTTCCGAGGAGGACCTTCAGGGACAGTGAGGTGGTATCCGGTGTAGGAAATCAGCTCGGGGATGTTTATGTGACCAGTGTGTATCATTGTTTAACATTCCTTATCCTTAGTTGCTGAAGTTGATAGTAATACTCTAAGTTTGCACGTTTATTTTTAGCGTCCTCTTGAAGGAATTCCCTTTTCAGATATGGATTTGTACAGACTTGGGGTACTCTGTGTTCAGCGTGGCCTAGAGGGATTTGGGTGTAGGCTCTGTATACTGTTTTGTGTTTTTTTTTTGGTACTGGGGAATCGAACTCAGGACCTTGTGCTTACAAGGTAGGCACCAGAACCACTGAGCTAAATCCCCAGCCCTCTATATACTTTTATATTTCATTAGTGTCGCTGTTGCCTACTTTAGGTAGTAGAAGTCACATGTCACTTCCCCATGTTTTCATTATAAAATCAGTGCTGGCCCCACTGTTATTGAAATGGGCTTTTCTTGGGCATGAGATGAATGAACACCAGAGCCTTAAGTACTTCACTGAGTGTCACTGCAGACAGTGGTGAGTGGAAGTGGAGTGGACAAGTCTCCTCCCGTCAGTCTGGAGCCCAGAGCTCTGCAGGGCCCTGCCCTCCTGCAGCTCCCTCTTTCATGGAGGTGTGGACAACGCCAGGGATATTTCCAGCAGGGTAACTGAGCCCGCAGCTGTGAACCAGCAGAGCAGGTGGGCAAGGAGAGAGAATGTCCGGCTGTGTGACCCACAGTGCAGTGCTGGTGCTGCAGCCTAGGACGGCTCCTGTGACGCGCCCAAGGAGACCTTCCCTGCATTCAGAGCAGGAAGGCCCTTACCTGGGTGTTCCTCTTCCTCCCAGAGCCCAGTCTCCTGGGGTTCCCAGGTGGCATGCAAAAGGGGGGCCCAGTGACTATAACGACCCAAAAGCACCAAGCTTGCATTGACGGCTCCGTGCTTTCTGTTGTACTTTTTCAGAGTGCAAATTCACCTGCACCAGCGGTAAATGCTTGTATCTTGGTTCACTGGTCTGTAACCAACAGGATGACTGCGGGGACAACAGTGACGAAGACAACTGTCTCCTGGTGACTGAGCATCCGCCTCCGGCCATCTTCAATTGTGAGTCCCCCTGCCCTGGTGACGTCGCGTTTGAGCACATCTCCAGGTGGCCGGGAGTCGGGGCATCGGGACATGGAGAGGCTGTTGGTCTCCAGTTAAGGAAAGAAACTTGTGTCTCCACAGGGAAGTATTTTCTTCTTCTAGGACAGAGAGATGTTCTCTGGGATGGTGGTGACTTTTACAGTAGGCGTTGCTACGTACTTGAGAAGTGCTGATAGATTCCAGGACGTTGGTACTGATATAGCCATATATTTATTGATCTATTATCAGTACATTGATATATTGATTCTTCACACCAGCTTTATAGAATTCTTTGAGTTATCACTACAAGAGTCATTTTAAATAAGCAAAGAAAGACGTGTGGAGAGTCCATAATTAAGAAACTAGATATACATGAGTTGCTTAAAGGTTCTTATTGTGTGTTTTGCTATTAGATCTGGGTAGAAAGCAGTGAGCATGAGGTCTTGATGTGAGGATTTCTTGAACTTGAGAAGGAGAAATCAGTTTGGAACTCATTGATTTTTGATCTCATGGTTTTTAGACAAGGATGAGAAAGAAGGCAGGAGAAGTGGATTGTTGTTTTCTGTGCCTCCTGGGCAGGGGACGTGGGCTGAGGGTGAGGACCTTCCTGCAGTGGCTCAGCTGGGAGAATGTGCACTGCCCTGGCCTTGCAGGGGTCTGGATGCAGGGCCCTGGGCCTGGCCCCTGGTCCCCAGCTGGTGCTGTCAGAAGGTGGGAGGCCTGGCTGGGGCATCATCCTGGGAGCAGTGCTGCAAAGGGTGTTGGGCCTGGGGCTCCTGGTTTGCTCCTTGTGCTCTGTGTGTGCCCTGGCTTTGACACGAGGGGAGGCAGAGGGGCCTGGCTGTGCACTGAGGCCACCAGTGCTGTGAACCAAAGTGCATCTTTCCTCTTCTTAGGCCGATTTCTCCCACACATTTGTTATGGGGACAAGAGGCTGACGGATGTGGCCTTTTCGTGGCTCTTGCTGGGATCACTGCAAGCGTACTCATCCTCTGTAATCAGTTCTGCCCACGCTCTTCTGAGGACTTAGATTCCAGACAGATTTAAAAACATTTGCAGTGGAAATTAGACTGCATAGGACCAAACCTACAGATAAGAGAACGGGAGAGGACTTGAGAAGAGGCACTGTTTTCTCCCTTCCTGCTCTATTTGTATACTGAGAGAAAGCTGTGCATGCCATGGTCTGAAACTGTGCCCTAGCAAGTTATAAGTCTGCTGTCTATGCTGCTGAATTCATGACTCTGAGAGTGCAGTTTTCCTGGGTGTGCCCTTTCTTACACTGAGCTGCTTCAAGTCTGTGCACTAGAATGCAGCTCTCAGAGGTGCACATGCTGTCTCACACTGTGCCGCCTTCTCCTCAGCTTAGTTTCCTACAGCAGCCTCTGCATGAGGCACTGGACTTCAGAGGACTGTCCACCTGTAGCCAGCGCTGGCTGTCCTGGATGCTTTCGCTGTCTGTGGTCCTACTTTGTGCACTGGAACAGCTCGGGCTCGGGGCTTGGGGAGGAAGGCTGCTGCAAGAACAGCAGGCTGGGAGTGGTGCAGTTGCCTCTCCTGAGGGCCAGAGGGCAGTGACCGGAGGCCTGGAGCACAGGGGTGCCTCCCGTGCCTGTGAGTGAGGTCTGCTTGCTCCGAGCCTGTCCGCCCTGAGACTCACAGTGTTGGAAGTGGGGCCTTTCCCCCTCATACCGTCATCCTTTTGATGGGGACTCAGCCTGGTGAATCTGAGCACGCCCCGCCCAGTCCCCAGCTGGCGAGCACCAAGAACCTGCTGGCTTTGAGCCATGGCCTCGGCAGCTTGACTCAGGCCAGAGTGCCCTCCCAAGTGGTCAGTGGCGGGCAGCCTCTTCCTCTGGCCTCTGTCGACATGAGTGATGGCAGACAAACGCAGCAATGCGTGGAGAGAACTTCGGCCGCCTGTGCGCACTGCGGGTGAGGCTCGGTCAGTGCCACCCCCGCCGGCAGCACCGGGGGGGCTGAGTCTGCAAGGCTTCTCCTCCGCTGGCCACTCTGTCTCCCCCTCAGCCCTCCCACTCAGCCCTTTCTCCTGCCCTCCTCTCCTCCCTGTCCCTTGCTCCTCAGTGTGCTTTTCCCATTGTGAAATCACACCCCAGACAGCTTTGGTGTTCGTTTAAAGAAAACAAGCCCTTTAATTCTGTTTGGAGCAGCGGAGAGCAGTTCAATCCATAAACAGCTCAACCTCGCGAGTGGCATTTGCAGTCGTGGCCCCCACACCAGAACTCTGTCTTTGTGCCTGACATGGGTGTCCACTCACCCTGTGCTCTTGTGCGAAGGCCAGCAAGTAGGAGGCAGGGTGGCAGGCAGGACCCTGACTGTGGCTTTACGCTGATGTGGTGCAGCTCTAACTGGGGGAGTGACTGCACCCTCCAAAGGCGGTCTCTGTACTGCAGACTGGCATTCACGTCTGCCGTGCAAGTTGCAGTGAGGACTTGGAGGAGGAAATGTGCATGGGCAGTGCAGCCTTCATCATCACGCCCTCCTCATCCCCATGTGCCCGGCCGTTTCTCAGGGAGGTGGATGTCGGCTGCTGTCCTTACGCAGCAGGAGTGTCCCAGGGTCCGACCCGGTGCCGCCCAGGTTCTGGTTGTCCCTACCATCTGTCCCTGGGGAAGGCTCCTGGGACTCACCCAGCCAAAGGCAGCTTGTTGGACCTGGCTAGCGGCTGCCTTGTGCTGCTGTTGCTGCTGTCCAGGTGCTGGAGGAGGTGGCCGTTTGTGACACGGAGCATCCACTGGGAGTCACGGCTGCTCCATGCTTTGTGGCGGGGACCCCTTCCTGCTCTTTGTGGCTGCTCCTGCAGTTAAGGGTGCGGCTTCCCAAGAGCTGACGCCCGGAGGATCCGTGGTGGGTGACGTGAGTTCTTGCCCTGGTGTCTTGCCCAGCACACAGCAGGACGGGAGAGGAGGCCAGGAGCACGCTACTTCCTGTGAGTACCCAGGTTGCAAGTCTTAGGGTCCTGCCGTCAGTTTTAATGGATTCTTGCATGTGATTATTGTCTCCTGAGCCAGGGCATTGCCTGCAGTTGAGGGGCAGCCTCCCTTTCATGCAGTGCCAGTGCTGCTCTATATTCTCTTTTGGTGTCCACCTTGAAAATGAAATATCACAGGAATTCCTGTCTGTCAAATGCTGCACAGCAGGAACACAAATAGTGTACCATCCTTGCTCCTGCTTAAGAAAGGGTCTGCTCACTGGACAGTTTGTTCTCTCCTGAAGGAAGTATTCAGTGTTCTGAGCACACTGAGGTGGAATCTTCTGGATTCCCAGACGGCTGAAATAAACTTCTAGTCTGTGCCACGACTTTGGGCATGCACCAAGGCTCAGCTGTCTGGGCCAGATGTCTCTGTCTGTCTGTCTGTCCGTCTGTCTCGTTAACGTTAGGGAAAATCCTCTGTGATGCATACAGCTCACGATGCTGATGACCTCAGGAGCCTCGTGGTAGCTGCACACAGCTCTTCCCTGCACTGCGTGGGAGCAGACCACAGCACCTCCGTTGCTCTGCTCTCTGCTGTGCAGGCCACAGCCACGCCGTCATTGCCTGAGGCTGGCTTGTTTTGCTGCGACACCCAGAGGGCTTTGTACAGATGTGGAAGGCAAGGCTGGCACACCGATACCATGGGGAGAGAGTTTCTGCATGCATCTCTCCGTGGAAGAGAGAAGGTGCTGAGTTTCTGGCTTCTCTTACATCTTTTCTTTGGCTGCTCTATCAAAGTATCGTACTCACGAGCACTAAATATACAAATCCTACAAATAAAATTATTAGTTACACGCCTTGTCTGCCATTGTGCCTGGCATTATCAGGTCTCCAACACGCACATACAGAGGTCACGGAAGCTGACACGGGTGAGGGCCTAGGGCCCCCGAGCATGGCTTGGGAGACGAGAGTCCTTCTGCTGCCCTGGGAGCCAGGGCGGTTCCAGGGTGGAGGCCTCAGGACGGTGAGGGGAGGGCACTGAGCAGCAGAGCCTTAGCAGCCCTCGCAGGGCAGCTTGAGGGTGGTGCTGTCCTGGGCAGGGCTGGGGCAGGAGGTGGGGCCAAGGATAGGCAGGGCCCAAGGGGAGCCGTGCAGTGTTGTGCCTTCTGCCTGTGGGGTGTGACACCAGGGCCCAGACACTGTCTCTGTGGCACCAGCTGCCCTCGGGCAACCCTCTGCCCCCATACATGCCTGCTGCAAGCCCCTCAGAGGTCTGCACAGTGTGGGGGGGTCTATGTGCTCAGCAGGTCGGGGAAGAACAGACCTGCCTTGGGCAGTGGCTGCTAAGGAATCCATGGCTCGGGACCTGTGAGGAACCAGAGATGAAGGAAGTTGAGGGAGCTGCTGTTCTCTCTCAGCCTCCAGGGGCTTTCAGCTGGCCAGAAGGGTGTGATGCATGGGGGTTAGGGTGGAGAGCCCCATCCCTACGGAGGCAGAAGCTGCGTCTTCCCCTACCGGTGTCCTGGTGAAAGCAGGACAAAGGCCAGTCAGGTGTGCCCAAATGGAGGTGGGATTTCAACTTCAGGGCCTCTTCTGAAACGTTTCTTTTGCCCCAGGGGATTGAGGCTAGTCCCATCCAAGTAAGACACCCAGTATGCTGTCATCGAGCTAGTTGTCTTGCTTTCCCACATCATCTCTTCCCATCTTCCTCAGCTCCCCCAAGGAACTGGAGCCTACTTGTCAGGGGTTCTGAGCATCAGCCCCCTTTAAGCACCACACTGTTGCTACCATCCCTTCCACCTGAGGCTGGCAACTTCTACCTGCGCAGTGCTTTGTTTATGATAACTTTGTGATTAGCTCACAACCGTGTAGGAAACCTGTCCACCTCAGGACTTGTGACTACCAGAGCTTTACTTTTCTATAATTATTTCAGTAAACATTAACAATAATTTTCTGATTTCACCAAATATCCTGTTAGAGTGCCTATTTCCCAAGTTGTCTTATGCACGTGTTTGGATTTGTTCTGTTCACAGTTGTTTGAAGCAGG